GGGGTTCGTTTTGACGAAGAGATGCGATAGAAATATTATTGTTTTTTTGTTTTGAAGTGAGAAGTCAATATTGACATGAAATTGAAGAAAAAAAGTCATTCTTAAAAACACAGATAAAGGGTTTAAGTTTAACCTTAAAAGAACATTTGAAGATGTCTATTTCCAAGAAATGGACTTGGGGAGGTGGGTGGGGGGTTCGTTTTGACGAAGAGATGCGATAGAAATATTATTGTTTTTTGTTTTGAAGTGAGAAGTCAATATTGACATAAAATTGAAGAGAAAAAAAACATTCTTAAAAACACAGATAAAGGGTTTAAGTTTAACCTTAAAAGAACATTTGAAGATGTCTATTTCCAAGAAATGGACTTGGGGAGGTGGGTGGGGGGTTCGTTTTGACGAAGAGATGCGATAGAAATATTATTGTTTTTTTGTTTTGAAGTGAGAAGTCAATATTGACATGAAATTGAAGAAAAAAAGTCATTCTTAAAAACACAGATAAAGGGTTTAAGTTTAACCTTAAAAGAATATTTCAAGATGTCTATTTCCAACAAATGGACTTCAGTTTGTTCTATTTAAAAGTCAGTATTTGCAAGTAAATAATTAACCTTCTATGACTGAATACAGAAAGAAACAGGACAAATAAGGATGACCAGTATTCTCCTGGTCGACGGGTTTTTTCTTGGATTAACCCCAGGCTCGGGAAATCTTCCTCACCACACGCGACAAAGATCGTTCATAACAAGATTGTTCACTCAGCCAAAAAAAGAGTGTCCGCAGAAGTCCACGCATTGGTTCAGATGGCGCTGCAGACTTTGTTTTCGTTTCTTCAGAAGAAGAATGGGAATAGTCATTGAGTTAACCATGGGAATCGCACAATTTGTTAATTTCACGTTTTATTGTTTTTCACAGAAGTAGGGTAGCTCGGTTCTCAAAGTCCGCACTTTTTCGAAGAGGGCGCCACCGGATTTTGAGGACACTTTTTTAATTGGCTCAAAGAGAGGAGGGAACTATCTTGTTATGTAAGATCTTTGAGCATGACGATCCACCCGCGGACCCTGTTGTCGTTTTCTCACTGGATTCTTCATTACTTGCCCTCAGTGGAAAAATGAAAATAATAGTAATAAATAGTAACATATTTCGAAACAGGAAAGAAAACTGAAAATAAATTAAAACAATTATGCAAATGCCCTTCTGTGTGTCAGCACTATATATAGGAGAAAAAATGACATTCATCTGACACAAAATCCACGCTTCGCCTCGCTCACGCGCACTTGTTCCACTTATTCAGTGCGCAAACTCGCATTGTTGGCCCACCTCCCCCCC